ACTTCCAAAATGGCTAAACGAAACGAAGCTGAGTAATGAATATGTAACCGGTTGCAAGAAATGGATTACAAGTTATAGTTGTCACAATTCAAGGTAAAGAAATTAACAAACGAGAAAACAAAAATAAAAAAAACAAAAAAGGACACTTACAAACATGGCCGAGACCTGGGTCAACTGCCAAATTAAAGACGATGTAAAGCGACGTAAAGCGACGTAAAGCGGCGTAAAGCGGCGTAAAGCGATCAATGGAGACGGTATAGACAGTTAGACGGTTCAAATAGTTCAACGGTTGATCCGAATGAATAAAATCCGCGGTGAAGACTAATACAAGCGACATAAACAAAGGGAAATTATACAGGAAAGAGTAACAGAATATTGATGAAAGTTATGCGCGCAGAACAAAAGGCCTGAATGAAGTGTGACAAAAGAAGGGTAAAAATTTGTAATCAACCGAATTTTTGGCGGCAACAGTAATGGAATTATCGCAGACCTTAGCAATGGACTGTCCCATCCTCATTGTTCCTTTGTTTTTGTGTTTTAAATCTTTTTCTTTTCCTTGCTAACAACTTGCCATTGGTTGCGCATTTGTATTGTCAGAAGGTATTTTGACTCCTCCTCAGTCCTTGGATCTATTGCCAGAAATGATGGACAAAATGACGGAGGCGGTGGTTTGTTGCTTGGAAACGGAGTAACATGTATGGAACAATAAACTAAATTGAAAAATAAAAATGCCTCGAGATGCTGGACATGTTTCCCCGACCTCTCATTTTTTTCTGAACATCCGACAAATTCGAAAATATAAATGGATAAATTAACGAGACTTCCTTGTAACGTCCAAATGCATATCAAATAGGGTGTTTTTTGCTCCAGTGTAACTCCTTCAAGTGTCTGAGATTTGTCTGAGGTATCCTCAACCAGTGGTTGTAAGGTTAGGCGTCTTATGAGAAATAGTACGGAGCTTAAGCAACCATGACGACTACCGGGACGACGACGACTGGAAGTAGGATGAACATTAGTGCGCAAGCGCGGCCCAAACATTTCGTCGTCGTGCCAGCGTCGACGACGTCAGAAAGAGTTGTTTCACGTCGTCGTGAACCTGGGAAGAAACTTGAGTTGAATTGAGCACTAAAAGGTACGAACTTACTACCATTTGCCAAATTTGATAACTGGTTGGAGTTTTTATTGTCTTGTGCCGTTGTTTTAAGCTCTTATGTTCGGGTCAATTATCACAAACGGCTTATTTTAAGTTTTCCTTTTTTGCACAGATGGCGGCAAGTGTGAAAACTGGAGAGAAAGCAAACACGTAAGCAATTTATTGACGGAATTTAGTGAAAGAATGCTGATTGTGATTATTTTTGAATGAAAAGTTTTAGATAGCAGTACTATATACCTGTGAATTCGGGTGCAAGAAAATATAAAGTAGGTAACTTGTAGATTCGATCTTTTACTTAATTAAAAGTGTCGAGGGTTTTCATCAGATTGCGTGTTTACATTACTCAAGCCTTTTTCCCTCTCTGGTTTTGTAACTTTATTTTCGAAATATTTCACTAACTATCCGGCTAAAAAAAGATTCCCTTGGCCGTGAATGTGAAGAGAAAATAATCTTAAAGGCTCGGCATTCTAGGCTGACCGCCGATTGTTTGTAAATGTATTGTTGTCGTTTTGCTTGCGTGAAGTAGAAAGCAACCTTATTCAAACCTGAATCCTGCATTTATCTGGTGCAACATCAGGTTTGTTTATGAATTACACCCCGTAATGTTAAATGGAAAATAATCTCCGTAAAATCTAGTGTTCTTAATATTTACGGCGGGTAAAAGAAATGTGAAATAATCTCCTCAAAGTCTAGTATTCTAAATATTTACAGCGGAAATTAAAAATACACGTATCGCCGTGGAAGAACTCGCAGAACAAATTGCAAATGTAGGAGGTCGGAAATAAAATAATTTGCATTGTTTTCGATCTTTTTATTGCGGTAAATTTTCCCTTAAAATTTAGCTCTTTTAACAGCAAAGTAATATGAAAAGATTTTATAATATCAAATAGTGGATTAATTAAATTTTTATTTAGCACAATCACTCACAAATCCTTTTCTTATCTACTTTGGCAGAAATCCAAATTTCGTGTGGAGTAATGACCACGATATCGTTATGTGTCGAGAGGTTCTTCAGATCGAGCCCTACCAATTTAAAATCAGAAGTCCAGAAAGGGGGCAGGCCTGGGAATCTTTGGCAGAAAAGTTAAGCGAAAATTCATGTCCAAAGTTCTGGGTGACTGCAAGGTCCGTACGAGACCGCTACAACCTCCTTACCAAGAAAATGGCTGCAAAACTAAAGAGTGAAGAGAAAGCTAGCGGCATTCAAGTTGAAACTTCAGAGCTTGATGATCTCTTAGAAGAAATCCTTGAGAAGGAAAAAGCTGTTAAAGAAAAGTTGGAGAGTGACAACCAGAATGACAAGGCAGCAGCCGAAGACATGCGAAAGAAGGCTCTAGAACGTATGGG